TGCTAGCACTTGATGCTTGTGCAACTTGGTATTACAGAAGGTTTTAGAGTGGTTCAGAAAAAGGGGAATTATCCTTGGACTGGCAAAAGGGCAATGTATGCAATTGTTACAAAGATGAGTTCTGTAGGTAGTTGGTGTTACTTAGCATCTACTTTGAATATAACCGTGTTTGCTTGCTCTCACACCCTTCCTTACCTGTTGTTGCCCGAAGCTTGGCTAAAAAATGAGGAAGGAATGGGCTTGATGAATTATCCCGTACTAGAAGCATACACTGTGTTGCTGCAAGCATCACTACTAGGCCTGCTGTCACAAACATGAAAATAATGTTGTGGTTTGCCCTATGGTGGTAAGATGCAAAATGTATTTCAGCTCAGTGGCATCAAACAGGCTAAACCCCTGTTGCGTGAGCGCCTAGTCCGGCCCGCAGTGTGTGCAGGTTTCTTGTCTTAAAGTGCTTATGACCTGAAGGAGTGATCCCCCAGCTGTTGCTTGTGATGACTAGGGTTGCTGCTGTTAGATGCAGACAATTGTTAGGCAGTTTTCTGTGGAAGAAAACAAATCCATGGAGTGGGAAAGGTTGTATTCTAAACATAGGAATTCATCTGGCTTTTTGTAGCTTAAGTCTGTTTTGGCAGTGGTTGCTGTATTTGAGGAAATTACTTCTTTATCATGCTCTTGCTGTTAAATTTATTTCAGGCAACAGTCAGAATTATTCTTTTTACTCACTGGTTGAGTTTTTTTAATTCCTTTTTTCCTTTCAGTGCCCTAATGCCTTTAAATACTTAGTATACAAGAGATTTTCTGTTTTCTAGAATAGAAACTATCCCACTTGAAGGTACAAGAAAAAACTCCAATGTGCAGCCAAGCTGTTTATCTGGTTACATACCACTGAAGCAATCTGCTAGTGATTTGTGTAGCTGATACCTATTTCCCAGTCATGCTCATTTAAAAAGCAAATAAAAACGCAAGCCAGATCTTAGTGTTACTGGGAGAGTATAAATGATTCCATGGTTGGTAGAGTGGCTTGTTATATGGAAAATGTAAAGGAAAATAGGTTAAAAAAAAATTTAAAAATTCTTGACTCATGCACAGCTTGGCTGTACAGTTTTGATTTATCTTTTCTGCTCAGCTGCCTGGGGGGCACTATTTTGTGCTTTAGGAGGGGAGGGGGCTCTTGGGAGAAGCTCTTTGAGGCTGATATGCTGTGGTAAGAGCTGTGGCAGAGCCAAAGGTGTGGATATTTCTGTTCATTTTTAATGCACAAGTGTGTGAGAACTTTTTTCTCTTCTTTTTATGCAGGTCAACTTCGTAGTGTGCCAACTGTTTGCCTTGCTTGCGGCTATTTGGTTTCGAACATACCTTCATTCAAGCAAAACTAGCCCATTTATAAGACATGTTGTTGCAACCTTCTTGGGCCTTTATCTTGCACTTTTTTGTTTTGGATGGTAAGTTGCACTTAAATTCAGTATTCAGGGATTTGCAGGATATCAGGTTTTGATTTCAGAGAAGTAAAGTTCTGTTATGAAGAGCCCTAATTACCTACTTTTGTGTTTTTTAGCTGCTGCAATTGTACATTAACTTAAATTTTCTGATGTGCCCAAGTTTTGAGAGGTTTTCAGTTTGAAAACTGGTAGCTAGCATACTGTCTGCCTGTGGTTTTGGGGAGGATGGAGCAGGTGCAGTTTAACTTGAACTAGTTTTTCTGTAAACTGGCATGAAAAGTATTCTCTTGAGCTGTAGTGATAATTTCTCTTAAATATTCACTGCATGAGGTAACTTGCTGTGTCTTTTTCTGAATATTGAATATGAACTAATTTATTGTAGGAAGAGTGCTGATGATGCTCCTTGTTGTATAGAACACCTGGAAAGGAGCTAGCCTCGAACTGAGAATTTTCTTTTGTGTGTTGTGTGGGACTTTTTATGTTTTAAAGCGGGGCTGTAGTTTGTTGTGTTTAAAAAAAAAACAAACCCACAGATTTTTCTTTGACTGTTCACATCTTGATCTCTTCAGTGTAGCAAGCCAGAATGTAGGGCTAATAAAGGGTATGTGTTCAATTTGGTGAAAAAAAAATTCCCTTTAAAATTAGCTTATTTAAACATCTCTCATCTTCCTGAAATGGCTTAAGACCAGTTAAGTGCCAGTTTCATTTTCTTGCAGGTGGGAAGATGCACTTTTGTGCACACACAGAGTGTGTATAAATAAATCTTGGAATTCCAAACCACAGACCTCTATTGGCATGTTGCAGAGGCTTCTCAGCATTAGTTGATATGTATTACTTTGAAATTTAGGAAAAAAAAATAATAAAAATATTTGAATTTACATGTGCAGTTTACTTGGATATATAATTTCAGAACTGCCATATGTTACTCAAGCTTTTGGCCATAGTATTCTGCTTTGAAGGAATGATCTGATGTCAAAGATCATTTGACATAGGACATAGGTGCTACTGTGTGTGGTTTTTATGAGAGCTGTAGAAGCTTTAGACCCATGTTCTATATGCGTTGCTTTGGAAGCAGAAATTATTAATTGTAGCTTGTAATTAGAAAGTTAACAACATACTTGTATCTGAAATTTGCAGATGGGAAACTTCAGAAAGAAACAACCTCCATGCCCAACAGGCATAAAAAAAATAGTGGAAGCCTCTCATTGGTAATAAGCCCTGGAAAAAAAAACCAAAAACAACAGAGATAAATTTTATGCAATAATACAAAGCCAGTTTATTGTAGTTTGCTTTGGGTAACACTTAAAGCTATTATTTTAACAATTAATTTCTATTTTACTAAAATGTTTTTTTTGTTACAGTCATGGAACTAAAAGCTTTTTTTTTAACTTCTGAAAAGAACATAATTTTAAAAGTACACGTGTTAAAAAGCTGATACTTCTGTTACACTTGTGTCAGCTCTTTTTCGTGTTGCTTGAGTATGTATTATACACCCGTGTTTCAGAGGGTTTGGTTTTGTTTGGTTCCTCTCCCCCCTCCACAGAGAATGGAGTATATGTATAGGTTACAATGCCATGGTATGCTTTCAGGAGCTCTTTAGTTGTGTTATAACATGTCCTGCACCTGGGCCTGCACCTGGGTTGGGGCAATCCCAATCACAAATACAGGCTGGTTGGAGAATGGGTTGAAAACAGCCCTAAGGAGAAGGACCTGGGGATGTTGGTTGGTGAGAAGCTCATTGTGAGCCAGCAATGTGTGCTAGCAGCCCAGAAAGCCAACCATGTCCTGGGCTGCATCAAAAGAAGTGTAGCCAGCAAGTCAAGGGAGGTAATTCTGTCTCTCTACCCTGCTCTCTTGAGATCCTCCTTGGAGTCCTGCATCCAGTTCTGGAGCCCCCAACATAAGAAGGACATGGACCTGCTGGAGTGAATCCAGAGGGGGGCTATGAAGATGATCAGAAGGCTGGGGCACTTCTCCTGTGAAGGCAGGCTGAGAGAGTTGGGGTCATTCATCCTGGAGGAGGCTCTGGGGAAACTTAGAATTTTAGGTAGTCATAACTTAGAGGAGACTGGCTATTAACAAAGTGTGGGAATGTGTGCAGATTGGTTCTTCCATAAGCAGCGAAGATTTTCAAGGTCAGTTACTACCCAAGTGAATTGCTTTTCCTCAATTTATCTGTATAGACTGTAGGACTTTCTTACTGAAAGTCTTTGAAGACATTTCCTTATGAATAGATAAGGAGTGAAATTAGGAAACTGCTGAAAGAGTAAGCTGAAAGAAAAAGGTATCAGTATAAGCAAATACTGACTGCTTTTTAGGCTGCTTTTTATGGGAAATAATGCAAAACAAGATCACATGTAAGCATGCTGTTGAGGCATCTAAAGAATCAACTTAATGAAGATCAAATGCCTTTCCCCAAGCACAGAGGATGGTTTACCACCAATGCTCTACTCACTTACTGAAATGTAACTTCTTTAAAAAACAAAATGAAACAAACCCCAAAACAATGGTTATGTTGTAGCTATGGTGGTAAGCCGTGGAAAACAAAAAGAAGGGGTTAGTGCATCTTTGTGACAGCCTTCTCTAGTCTAAAGAACATCAGATCTCTCAGCCAATCCTCATAAGGCTTGTTCTCCAGACCCTTCACCAGCTTTGTTGCTTTTCTCTGGACAAACTCCAGCCCCTCAGTGCCCTTCTTGTAGTGAGGGGCCTGGAACTTAACACAGTACTTGAGGTGTGGCCTCACCAGTGCTGAGTACAGGGGACAATAACTTCCCTACTCCTGCTGGCCACACTATTCCTGATGCAGGCCAGGATGCTGTTGGCCACCTGGGCACACTGCTGGCTCATGTTCAGCCAGCTATCAACCAGCACCCCCAAGTTCTCCACCAGGCAGCTTTCCAGCCACACTCTTCCCTAAGCATGTAGCGTTACCTGGGGTTGTTGTGGCTCAAGTGCAGGACCCAGCTCTAGGCCTCACACAATTGGCCTCAGCCCATCAGTCCAGCCTGTCCAGCTCCTGCTGTTTATAAGCTGGAAAGTTCCAGCTAGGTCTTAGTTTTTGTTGGTTACTTTTGTCTGTGCTGTGCTAAGGGGTGAAGCTCTGAACAGAAGGGATGGCTGCAGAAAACCTAAGTAGAGCAAAAGGCTTTTTGGAAGCAGTGATGGAGTTAAAATTTGACAAACTTATTTAATTTCACATTAAATAAACAAATGCATGCAGCTTATTTTTATTTTATGAAAATGCTGTTAGGGTTTACTATTTTTTGCTTTTCCTAGGTATGCCTTACATTTTGTTATACAAAGTGGAATTTCCTACTACATCATGATCATAATAGGAGTGGAAAATATGCACAAGTAAGTTTCCATTCTAATTTTTTTTTTTTCCTTCTATAAGAATGCTACTGTTTAGTTTTTCCTGTAACTGCACACATATGCCATGCTTCTGGTTGTTCCATAATATTTTAGCATTTGAATTCTGCTAACCATGGTTTTAGTTCCAGGAGAGAAAATTTAGTTGCATATTTTTTGCCAGAATTTTTGAATGTCTGTAGCTAGTTGCAATTGATAATGCTCCATTTAGGTTTCTTTTGTGTTCTTAGCGTTCTGATTTGTCATTACTTGATAATAAATTAGTCTAGATGTCTCACAAATGAGTTAATTCAATATAATTTGATAACAGCCAGTACTGGGAGAAGGAATTTGTCTGAGGGAAACAGTTCATGTGAGAATTTTTTTTAGGTACTAAATGTTTACAATTTCTTCTTTTTTATTTATTGTAAGAATAACACAATGTGAATGTGGTCTTCGGTTAAGAATACTATATTAAGATTGCATATGTAGGGCATTATTTTAGGTTTGCTAGAATGTATGATTAGATTAAACAGTATCTGAATCCATAAAATCTGGCACTTGTTTCTTGTTTTCAATCACTCTTAAAAGCAGGTAGGGCACTTACTTTATTACTGTATGCATATGTTTTACTGTTCTACTACGCTAGAGATCAGAACCAAACTAGGTTCCCACTGTGTTAATTCCTGCATAAATGTTTACTAAAATAGCAAGTATTTGCTTGAATAGATTTCTAAAGTATGTGAGGCTGTAGGAAAGAAGCTGGTAAAAAACACGGAAAGGCAAATTGCTTTTACAAATACAGTGCAAAGCCTGGTGGCCTAAATTCATGATCCTGCCTGTTAGAATGCCCAGCTTCTTTATATTCTGTTAGTGAATATGATTTTATTGTCTTTTGAAATAAGCTGCATTGGGCTCTTGTTTCCAGGATTTTCTACAAAGCCTGATGCCAAACTACTGCAGATGGGAGACAGCTTCATGTGGTTGGATGGCTGGTTTATATTCTAATGGTTTATCTGATTAGAAGTTGTTGTAGAGCAGCTTGTTCGTATCAATGTCTCTTTAGACATGTAACAATTTAAACGGTAACTTATATAGCTTAATATTTTAGCATAAATTATTAAAGCAGTTAGATGCTGTTAAGGGAGTTACCAGGCAGGAATACATGGTCTTTATAATAACAACAAATTATATAGGTTTCTCGTAAAAGGAATTGTAGCAGTGTTTTTCTTCCTTAATAGTGAGAGGTAGCTCCAGGAGACTTTTCTAGTAGGTGATACAGGAAAGACTGTGCAAGGTTTGCTCCTGCAATTGCTACAGTATCCCAGGAGGGGTGATGCCTCTTGTTGTCCCTACAGGCCTGTACCTTTTATGGAAAGAATGCACCATGGACTCTGAATTTTCTGCTGTGAAAATACTATTTACAGCTGTCCGTTTGGCAGCCTGAACAGAAACTAATGTGAATGACTCCCCTCCCCACCTGTTTGACTTCAGGCTACACATGTATCTCACAGAGCCCAGGAAAGAAGTAGAATGCAGCTAGTACCACCTGCCATAAGGATTGGAGGGTGGCCCTGGCAGTGTTTTACTGGTGTGTGTGTGTGTGTGTATGTACAGCTCATCAGAGTACTTAGGTATATCTGCATAGCCTAAGTTTTGGGATTTACTTTGTACATTGTAGAGGGATCTCCTGGCTGGCAGTTAGAGTTTACCTGCATTGTTCATAAGCTTCTTGGAGGCTACAGAACATCAAATACCTATACATGGTGTAAATATGAATTCAAGTAAATTTTGTATTGTATAAGTATTCGTGTATTATACAACATATTTTTGTCTGTTATCTAAATTAATTTACTGAAGAAAGTTTCCTCTTCTTTTCACTGCCCAGCTTGCTGTCCTGCAGTTTTCATGAGTTTATAGAGAAAACTATTACTCCCTTCCTTTCTGCTTATCCCACCCTCACATATAGTTCCTCAGTCTTTCCAGCCTCTCTATAATATTTTTAAACAAGTAAGAGACAACTAAAGTTTGTAGATTGCTTATCAGTACAGCTGCTGTGAGCTGAGTATAGCATCTTTCCTTACATTCTGAAGCAAGGAGAGATTTTTGATAATCTTTATTCTCCAAAGCAGACTTTCAAATACCCTTCTAAACCTCTGTTGCTTTCTTCATGTACTTCCACTGGAACCTAAAAATCTCTGCTCTACAAGGTTCCTACCTTTGTGATTTTCCTCAAGTAATTGAACCTTGTGCAGCTATTGCTTCGAGGCTGGTCTTCAGCAGACATGGTATGTTAAACACAAAAACCTTACTGGAACAACGTAGAGGGTGGAAAGAAAGAAAAAGGGAAGACTTTTGGGAAGAGAAAAAAAAGAAAACCAAACCTCACCATTTTAAAAATTAAGGAAACCTTGCCTTTTATATTTTAGCAACTTTATTCTAAAAATTAATTAGCAGAAAATTAGTTACCTGCGGTTTGGATTTAACTGCTTTTATGCTTTAGTCTTATTGAAGTTATGGTACTTGAAATATGAAGTGGTAGCACCACACCTGAGTGGTTCAAAAGCTCTTATTTTTAAATTTGTGACTAAGCTATCTTAATATTTATTTGGTGCTCTCACAACTCAGTTAATTATGAAATAAGTTATCCATTCCAATAACTTTGCATTTGGTAACTGGTATGATGGTAACATTTTTTTCTTAGAAATTCTTCTGTTTTTTCTATGGTTGTGAAATTGCTACTGGTCTTAAAAAATGAAACTTCAAATCCTGTGAAGTTTTTCCTTAAAGCATTTTGGCTGCTGTTAGCTAAGTGCTTTGTAAGCAGTGCTTGCATAGGTGATTTGATGACAAGGTTTTTAAGGTTTCTAGGTAAATCTTTCTCTTTTGACCTGATTTCGCCTGGGAAGAAAGGTAATTGAGGCTCACAGTTGCTTCACTGAAGTTGGTAGTTTTCTCAGTCCCTTCCTTGACAAAACAGATGTCTTGGATGTGTCAGTGTAGAAAATAAATCTGTTTATCAGAGATGCTGAGGGGACTGGAATGTCTCTTCTCTGAGGAGAGGTGGAGGGAGCTGGAACTGTTCAGCCTGGAGAAGAGAAGGCTCACAGGGATCTCATCAATGTGTGTAAATACCTGGAGGAAGTGAGCCAGGCTTTCCTTGGTGCTCGGTGACAGGACTAGATGTAGTGGGCACAAACTGAAACACAGGAGGTGTTCTCTGAACAGCAGGAAACCCTTTTTTTACTGTAAAGGAGGTTGTGAAGTCTCCAACCTTGGAGACATTCAGAAGCCCTCTGGACATGGTCTTGGGCAGCTAATTCTGGGTGATCCTGCTTAAGTAGATTGGACCAGATGACTTGTGAAGTCCCTCCCAACCTCAGCCGTTCTGTGGTCCTGTTTTATTTTGGTGCACATAAAATTCTTTATACTGTACCTACACTTAGGTACGTGAGTTGTTTGAACATGATAAAATAAAGAGATATTTGAATTAGAGTTAAAAAACTTTGATTGTAACTGCTCTAGCCCCTCTGGAGGTGCTTCCTGGTCATCTCTTTCCTTGAGATTTGGCATGTTAGTCATCATTAAGCCCCTTTCCCCTTCCTAGCCAGAGCCATGACAGAACCTTGCTCCCCTTTTCCTTCACTCCTAGGTGTGGCTTTGACAAACAGTGAGAGATTTGGCAAAGGAGCAGTGGAGGAGGCTTGATGGTTTGATCTTAGAAATCTCAGATAAAGAAACAAATCTTGTTCATCTGAGTGAACTAATTCACTCAGCATGTCAATTGAGGCACTTTATTGAACACCTGACTGACAAATTGCACTGATTGTCATGACTTGTTGATATACAAATTTGACTGCTAGTTAGCCTACAACTTGGATTGCTCTGAAAATTAATTCAGATTTTTTTAAAGTTATGGTTTCAGTGAAATAAAAAATGTGTCAGGCAAACTACTTGAATCCTGTGAGCAAGGTTTTTGTAAGCCTCTTTATATCTTCAGAAGTGAGAGCATTCATAAGCTGAAATTATTCTTGAAAATGGCTTGAAATTGTCTTTTCCAAAGGCCTTTGATCAAGGTAAATGTAGATTTGTTTGTTTGGCTGAAGCAACATCTGAAGTTAGTTATCATAAATCAACAGAAAGAAAGAATATCTCACAGTTGTTAAGGTTTTGACCAAGAAATGCTATCAATTTCCAATAACATTTTTTAGTAAATTTAGGATTGGAAGCCTGCTTACGTAATTACAGTTCTTTAAAGGTGCAAGAGCATCCAGACAGCTGTAAGCTATCTGACATATAACTTCTCAGTTACAAATTTGTAATTTATTTATGTAACCTGAATAAAAATGTCAAGTGCATGGGTAGCTGCCAGAGGAAAGTGGGCTTACCATTGAGAATACTAGGATTCAGAAGTTGAAGTATTAGTAGCTGTGAACTGTTCTGCGTATGCAAACACAATTTTTTCTGCATTTTTACTTCTGCAGTTAATGCAAATAAGATAGACTTGAGGGCAGAAGAATATTAAGTATGTTCTTGTTGTTCAGCCAAGGATAAATGCAAGATGGAGGAAGATGAGATTTACTGGTTCTGTACCTCTGAATAACACAAAGACTGGAAAAGCAAGTACTGTTCTTTCATGACAAACAATTTTTGGAGTCTTAATCAGATCTATGTTAAATGCAAAAAAAACCCCCATAAACTTGTTGAAATCTCATAATTGCAAAGTTTGTGTTTGATTAAAAAGTGATTAAAAACAGTTAAAGTATTTTTGGAGTAGTTGAGGATCAAATACATATTGCACAGTAGAGTTTCTACAGTATGCATAAAAATATTATCCTTCACTATTAGAAAAAAACACCAAGGCTAATAAATGGCTGTATTTAGGAGGAAATTTCAGTATTTATCCACTAAAAAGAATCAGTTTTCCTTTTTGAAGTGGTATGTCTTTTCCCAAAGAAAAGGGATTGCGCTTGCTGATTTCCCCCTAAGAAAGGGGAGATGATGAT